TTCCAATCCCAAACTGGCATGGTTTTTGATATGGCAGACTACGCTCAGCAGACCGTAGATTTGTATAAATCAATAACTGGTGTCACCAAACTCAAGCATGCCGCCACGCCATTTCCACCTGAGGGATCCATCACCATTGAAGATGATGAAACTAAAGGGGAACTAGCTCCAAACGCATGTAAGATTTTGATGAAAGCCCTTTGGTTAGGTAGACTTGCACGTCCCGATATCATCAAGCCTATCAATGATCTGGCCACAAAGGTCCAGTCGTGGTCCAGGGGGGATGATAAGAAGGTCCTAAGATTAATCCAGTACATAGCCTCAACCCCACACTATAGGTTGGTAGGTACCATTCAGGACAAGCCTGAAGACCTAGAGCTCAGACTGTTCGTCGACGCCGACTTCGCCGGCGACAGATCAACTGCGCGCTCAACCTCTGGTGGCTTTCTGGTTTTATCTGGCCCTAATTCCTTCTTCCCACTTGCATGGATTAGCAAGCGCCAAACATCCACTTCTAGATCGACCACGGAAAGCGAGGTTGTTAGTTTAGCCCATTCGCTTTATCAAGAAGGCTTGCCTGCCTTACAGTTATGGGAGCTGTTGCTTGCACGCTCCGTAACCCTTAGGGTCCACGAAGATAACCAAGCAACAATCCTAGTTGTGAAGAAAGGATATAGTCCCAAGCTTCGCCATATAACTAGAACACACAAAGTAAATTTGTCTTGCCTGTCTGAAATCTTCAGAGACGATTCTGCTGAAATAGAATACGTCCACACCGACGATCAGGCGGCAGACATATTCACCAAGGCATTGCCTCCACACAAATGGGCAGCAGCACTAATCCTTCTAGGAATCCGTACTGACCTCCCCATAGACCTTCAATCCAAAGCATAGGTCGCTGTGAACGTCCGTTCACGCGACAGTAGCTGCTTAGGATGCTGCCAATGCGCAGTGCGTGTGGAACAGGCGAGGGGGGAGTTGAAATATACCGACCCCTGAGCCCCACTATGTATAGCATAGGTAGTAGGTCTTATGTAGAGCATTGCCATAGCTATGAGTCCAACTATAATCCAATGTAGCTATTCCCATTAATGATGTACAGAATAGCACCACCTACTTAGAAGCGTTAGGTAGGTAGAGTAGCCATAGATTAGAGGGTAGTACTAGGTCCACCCTAACAACCACCTGGGTGTAATTAGCGTGTACCCGACGTCATGGCTCAAGTGCGCAAAAGCTGCGTGCTTGTTTGTTTCTTTGTTGATGCAGGGTTCGGCGGTTTGGTTTCCCCTTTTCTTTTGGGTTTCCGTTCCGACCCCCTGTTTGTCTTCAATGGGCCATTTTCGCTGCGGTTGGGTAAAACAGATTCATGGGTTGAATCCATTGGCTCAACTGACCATTCCATCCCTATGTTGATCGGTAAAACCCATGGATTTTCCCATGTCACATTCCAACCAAATATTCCCATGATATTATATCATAAGTTCACCATATACTATAATATTTATATATATATATACGTACATACATACATACATACATTCATTCATTGAAACATGGCTCCACATCTCGAGGTCGTCAAGATCACTGGCAGCCCTGCAGTGAGCTGTCGTTGGCTGCATGTTGCCAACGCGAGGCGCTGCGCGTCAACGACGGTGCAGGGCGCTGTCGATGCGCACAGGCGTTGCATTGGTGGGTTTCTGGTGAAGTGTGACCAATTTCCAGCCATAAATGGAAGGAGTGTGTGTGTAGGTGTACATATTTATATATATATATCATACCTAGCCAAAGAGGGGGCCCTCGTTTCATACCTAGCTGATGTTTAGCAACGAATATCAGTTGTGAGACACCAGGCGCATGCAAAGCAAGCTGAACTGTGCGCGTTAGAATGGCATCTGGGCACTGCAAAGGACCAGGTTTCTACCCGCAACGCTGTCATCGTTTACGAGGAAAATCCTCTATCAATGGAGGTTGTTTGGTGGGAAAATCCCCTATAATCGAAGGAAGTTTAGAAGTCAAACTTCCGACAATATGGACAGATGAAAAGCAGAGCAGGGCAGAGGCAGAGAGAAGAGAAAGATTAGAAGAGAGAAGAGTAGAAGAGAAAGAGTCAGAAGATAGAAGATGCAGGTGCGCGAAAAGGTAGGAAAGTCGCGAAACACTGTGTTTTTCCAATGATTTGTGGCTCCGGAGGGTCGTAAAGTAGGCTCGCTAAAGCGGCAGGTGCGGAGCCAGCTGGCCAGATGAGAGCTGAAAAATTGCACGCTGGTTTGGCGCGAAGCACATTTCCAAGTGAAAAGGTGCAAAACACTTGGGTCTCGGAGCACTTTTGGAAGTTGAGATGTCGAAAAAGTGCACGCCGTTGTGGCGCGAAGCACATTTCGAAGTGAAATGTACAAAACACCTCAGTGTCGGCCCACTTTTGGAAGTTGAGATGTCGAAAAAGTGCATGCCGTTGTGGCGCGAAGCACATTTCGAAGTCAACATGTACAAAACACACCATTGTGGGACCACTTTTTGGAAGTTGAGATGTCCAAAAAGTGCACGCCGTTGTGGCGTGAAGCACATTTCCAAGTCAAAATGCACAAAACACACCATTGTCGGACCACTTTTGGCACTTGAGATGTCGAAAAAGTGCACGCCGTTGTGGCGCGAAGCACATTTCCAAGTCAAAATGTCAAAAACACTAGGGGTTCGGACCACTTTTGGAGGTTCAGATGTTGAAAAAGTGCACGCGGTTGTGGCACGAAGCACATTTCCAAGTCAAAATCTCAAAAACACCAGCGGTTTGGACCACTTTTGGAGGTTCAGATGTCGCTTCGCTTCGCTTCGCTTCGGTTCACTACACTACACTATACACTACACTACAGTACATTACACTACACTACATTCCACAACACTACAACTACACAACTACACTCCACTACACTCCACTAGACTCCACTACACTCCACCACACTAAATTACACTACACTACTTTACACTACATTACACTACACTCCACTACACTCCACTACACTACAACTACAACTACAGCTACACAACTACACTCCACGACACTACAACTACAACTACAACTACACGACTACACTCCACTACACTCCACTACACTAAATTACACTACATTACACTACACTCCACTACACTACACTACATTACACTACACTACACTACCTTCCACTACACTTCACTACATTACACTACACTACACTACAACTACAACTACGACTACACAACTACACTCCACTACACTAAATTACACTACACTACACTACAACTACAACTACGACTACACAACTACACTCCACTACACTAAATTACACTACACTACACAACATTACACAACACTACACTACACTCCACTACACTACACTACATTACACTACACTACATTACACTGAATGACACTGCACCACGCACCACAGATAGACAGGTAGACAGATAGACAGATAGATAGATAGACAGATAGACAGGTAGACACAGGTAGACAGATGAAAGAAAGAGAGAGAGAGAGAGACAAAGAGAGAGATAGATAGATAGATAGATAGATAGATAGCTAGATAGCTAGATAGCTAGATAACTAGATAGCTAGATAGCTAGATAGCTAGACACATAGATACATAGATACATAGATACATAGATACATAGAAGATAGGTAGGTAGGTAGGTAGGTAGGTAGATAGTCAGAGAAAGAGAGAGAGAGAAAGAGAGGAGACCTCAAGCACCTTTCGGTCCATCAGTGGATTCGCTCTGCCATCCCTGATTCACAACAACCAACCTCTCCTACAGGTTTCCTATTTTTGAAACTTCCGCCACCGCCTTGTGCGGTACTACTGGTATGGATATTTGTTATGGAAATGTTCAGCTACAAATGGATGGTTTTTAATGGGAAAATCAGCTATAAATGGAGGTTTCTAGCTGGTAAACTGGGAAAACCAGCTAGAAATCGGGGGACTTTCCAGCTAGCCATGCTTGATGACACCGGAAGTAGCCCAGCAACAAAGCTTTGATATGGCTGAGAATGTTGGGTTTTTAAAGAAAGCCTGTATAGAGATGGCCAATAGGACTTGTCCCCTATGGGTTTTGCGTAAGCTTCAACGGCATGCTATGGCACCGAAGTGTCACCGGTGTTCGCAGGGGATCCTGGCGATCACTAAGGCAGAGTTGCGAATTGCCCAAGGATGCGTGCTGCCAAAGTTTGCTCTTCAGCTGCAGGCTACAGAGAAGTCGCCAAAAATCACTAGTTTTGGGGAAAACCCTGAACTAAAATAGAGGTTCCAATGGGAACAATATCTAGAAATAGGGACTTGTAATGGTAAAAACCCATCGCATCAGCATTTCATATGCGACTTCATCCCACTTCTCTGAGGTGCCAATGCCTCTGATGTCAGACGTTCCCATCATTTTTGCCGGTCAAAGCAATCCAGTATAACAATATAATAGTAAAGCTGTGATTTAACTATCCAGTAATTCCAGTATTTGACTATGGTTTTAGCTGTTTCACCCGTTTTAATGACATGTCCAGCTCATTCTTGGGGGGTGCAGTTCCAGTTGTAAGTGGATATACAACCAGAGTTACACCCCCAGGTTCCCTTACGAATGGTGTATTAGAACCATGGTATTCAACCTGTCGACATCACACCGCATCGATGAATTCAGAAATTAGATTCCTAATACCCATGAAAATCCAATCAAATCCCATTTACCATGATTTTCCCATTGTCCAAAACCTCCAGCTTTTTCATGTATAACCAGCTCGGGGGCAGCGCCCAGCTCCTGACAATAGCTAACCATAGATATTAGGCATTGCTAGGTACTATACAATACTCATGGATACTAATGGTATATAACAAACACGATTATATATACAACAATCCAATCAATACACCATTCTATATACATATAATGATATATATATATACACACATACATACATATATACATATGTATATAGATCAATCGCTTCATCTACAGTCCAGCTCCAAAAGTGGCCAAGGCCCGCCATGCTGTTGGTGACCTTCGGCAACAGCTCCGCCTCGGGCTACGCCGCCAGCTGCGCCTGCGCCCCGGTGGGCTTCGGTCCGCTGAGCCAACTGCAGCTGGAGCAGCGCTGCGAAACGACCAACAGTCGCCAGGTGGGAAGTCCACAACGAAACCATGGTGAAACTATGAATTTATGGGATTTTATGGTTTTTTATGGGATTTTGAGTGGGATTTGAATGGGTTTTTTTCATGGAATTTGGTGATTTGTGGTTTGGGATGGTGTTTTGGATGTTTTTTTGGTGAGAAAATTGATGATCTGGAATCCTCGGAACCATGTTAGGATATGGCAATGGGATATTGGATCTAATCAACAATGAGGTTTTGGGCTATGTGAATCATTGGGAAGTGGGTACTTCCGTACTAACTCATGTTTAGCGATAAATCGGAATATGTCAATCTAACCAGCTAAAAGAATTATTGTTTGCGGGTTTTCTAAAGTTGGGAATGATTAGGAAATTCAACTCCGATTCGGAGATTTATTATTGTTGTTTTGCTATTAGCTCTGACAATGTAAAAACTTAGCTGTGGAAAATGACCAATTCCTTTGGTAGATTCTGTATGTGCCATTTTCTATAATTATGCTAAATTGCCAGAAAACCAAATTCTATATTTAGCATAACTACTCTATATTTCTATAGGGAAACTAAATTTTCTATAATTAGGAAAACCATGTCACTTCACAAATTTTCTATTTTCTATGCAGAGGGTTTTGCCATGCCAGGCGTGCAGTTTCCCCAGCTTCGTAGATTTGGTGCGCCGATGTGATGGGGGTGAAGTCGCTGGCAGCTTCAATCCCATTCCTCATATGAAACACAGTCCCTTGTGTGTTCCCAAAATGTACCAGTCATACAGTATATCTATATATATATATAGTCATTTATATATATATATATATGTATACATTTTATATATATATATGCACATTCATCCCCTACATCCACGATGGTGTTTGGGTGTGTACTATGAATGGGGCCCCAAAAAGAGCTTTCCTCTCCAGGATGATCTTCGCCACACGGATCCTTGGAGTCACTTTGGAATTACCAGGCTTTTCAAACCAAAATGCCTTATGGAAAAGCCTCAATAGATTGATGCCATGCATCCAGGTTGCTACGACATTCAAGATGCAAAACCCATTCGTGGTGATATCCACTTCTGCTTGGTTTCAAGTGTTGTGTTTTATCATTACAAGATGCTACATGATAGTGATCCCAATCCCCATACAATCATCAGGTGTGATATGTTTCCAGAAATTGAAACTCGAAAGCATGAATCTACGAATCTGCATCCAAAAAAAAACTCCCAAAAGCTGTCTTTTCGTGGTGGTTGAAATCCATGTCTGGCCGAAAAGCCAGAAAAATCAGGACCTGACCCGCGCGGGTCGTTTCGACGACGCATGTCACAAGAACGCCTCAGCACACTTCAGTGTGAACCTCCAGAGCTTCGACATCGGGATGGTCGACCAATATCTCAGTGGGAATATTGATATACCATCTGGTTATGACTGACATAGCCATGGAAAATCCATCCTTTTTAATAGGTAAACCCAGGTAAACCATCTATAAATGGGCCATCTATACCATGGCTATGTTAAATAAGCAGAGGGTATCTCAAAATGGGATATCTATTATATATTGTTCTTAATGGCAGTAGCATCCTAATTGTGAAAAAAATGTTTCGTGTTGTGCCTGAAATGGGGTATCCCCAAGTTAGCATGGTTGTTTCAATACTGAGTCATGGTCTAATGACTTGTATGATGTGAGGGTACCCCCATGACTTAGAAAACCACCATATACTTAGTGGGAATATTTCATGTTGGTAAAACAATAGGATTCACCCCCATTTTAGCATAAATGGGAGGTATAACCATCAAAATATGGGTGGCTTGTTGTTGCCTGCCGTACGAACGTTATCTCAAAACGTAATTTGCGGGAATATTGCCCATAATCACTCACATCACTATTTGGGTGTACTAGATGAGTGGGAATATAAGCCAACTATAATGATATATGTATATACATATATATATATACCAGTGTATCAAAGACAATGGCGACATAGTAAGGATTATATTTATAGGATATAGTAGGGCCAGTAGGGCATAAGACAACCACAGGATATATCCTCGTAGAGTCGAAATATGCCGAAACCACTGGATTTGTGTCCCGAAAAGTTTCGGGGGTTCCAAAGTCATACCTCCAGTTCTCCATTTATAGATGGTACTTTCCATAACCATCCAGCTATTGGGGGGCCCCCCATTTCCGGAAACCACCATTTACCTCGCAAGTTTGTGATTAGTTGAGTTGGCATATCCAACATTTGGTCAATCCCACTCGCCAGCACAATATGCTGAATACGCGTGTGGATGATATCTCATCAATTGGGTATGGTTCATTCTTGGACCAGATTGCCAATAGATCGCAGATAGGACATCCCTCGAAAAGATAAAAAAGACCTATTCCAGGATGTTACAGATAGTGTTTATCTCATGCTTTCCAGGTGTCCAATTGTTCTATAGTCGTTTTTGGGGTGATCAGCTACCAGCTACCAATGTGTTTTAATTATGTTGTGAAAGATCATTCCAACAGAGGCTGGCATGGATGTCTATGTCTCAGATTAAGACGACTATGTTTGATGGCAATGATGCGTGGGAACCAGTGAGGCATGAATGCCCAGTTCCCATTTCCATTCTGGTGAGTTTCATCAAACCATTCCCAAATATTCACGGGGTAGTTGCTTAGATATTTGTCATGTTTTCATTGGAATAATCATATTGGTTGTACGAATATCATCATTAAATTACGGTTATTATAGAATAATCATTGTAACATCTATCATTAGCACGATCATTCAGACTGCCTCATCTCTTAGTCGAAGCCACCGAGGAAAGGAAGACCTTACCTGCTCAGATTCCAGGTGCAAAACGGCGATGGATCTTGGGGGTGTCACAAAGGTGTCGTGTCGCTTACCCTCTGGTAAACAAACATAGCTATTGAAAATGGTCACTTATAGTTGATTTACCCATTGAAAATTGTGATTTTCCAAAGCTATGTTAGTTTACCAGAGGGTATCTTCCGTCTGCGACAATCATGTCAGAGCACAACCATCATGCCCAGTTTACCCATGAGTTTACGTTTGGACAGCGGTCCGTTGACCCATTTCGTTTGATGTTTGCAATCGAAACCTCCCCCTGTTTGGTGATCTGCCAGGTTCGACATTCTGAGAACAAATTGCCAGTAGATTTGATGATGCTTGGCGGCCGTTGATCCCGTGTCCGGAGTGATTCGAAATGGACATGGATTATCCATCTAGTGATCACCTGGCAATGGAAAATCCGAAAATCCATTCGATAATCATAGAGGTTTCAATGTGAGAATCGATGGTTATAGCAGATGTTGGGAAGCGAACATGGAAAACTTGCCATCGAATGTTCCAGCCATGGCTCCCTCCATCTGGCGGATTTCCCATGAAACTGGAGGGATCTGGAGGGTATACATGATCATGTCCATATAGTATATGTTCAGTATTAACCATCAAATGATTGGGGTCCCCCATGACTTTAATGCTTTGACCTCCCAAAATCCCAAAAAAATCCAAGGATTGGTCACCAACGCACCAGCATAGCAGCAGCTACCAATGCCTGGTTGGAGCGATCCTTTCGAGCAACAACCTCTGGCCTGGTTCAGATGCGGAGACTTGGCGGTGCCGAGTTCGCCGAGAAATCGTCAACGGTTCTTGGGGATAGAAAAATAGGGATGGAATAGCAAGCAACGATTTGGTGAATAGTTCATGAATTAATGGATTGATAATGGCTGAGGTGTATCAATCCATAATCAATCATCAATCCATTAGTAGCTAATAGTTAATTCATTGAAAATAGCCCACTTGATTGGTGAATTTGTTGGGGCCTATGCTGCCTGATTCATTTGGGATTATGATAAACAATAGGAGGGAAACCTATCAACCAACTAGTATAATGATATCTATTGGGAGAGTTTCACGCAGTAGTCAATGTTTACTACCCCAAAAGGGAATGGGAAATAATAGGGTTTTCTTAAATGGTGGTACATATTGTCATAATTGAAAAAATTATTGGATTAGTCAATGCCCTCCCCCATTTATATTGAACACCCTGGTCTAGGGTCCCAAATGTGATTCTTCACCGGGTTTTGGCTGCAAAGGCAGATACACAGCCATTTGAACCAATTTCCGATCACGAAAAACATTACATGCTGGTCTAATCATTCATATTAATAGAGAGCTGGCCGCTGTGGGAGTGCACTTTTTTCCATGCAGTCATTACATTAATCATTATATTAGTCATTATATTAGTCATTATATAAGTCATTAAATAAATCATTATATGAATCATTATATGAATCATTATATGAATCATTCTATGAATCATTATATTAATCATCAAATGAATCATAAAATGAATCATCATTATATCAGTCATTAAATAATTCATTAATTTAATCATTTTATTAATCATTATATTAGTCATTATATATATATCATTAAATTAATCATTATATTAGTCAATAAATGAACAAGTATATCAGCCATTACAAAAATCATTATATTAATCATTATCTTAGTCATTATAAAAGTCATTAAATAAATCATGAAATGAATCACTATATTTATCATTATATGAATCATTATATTAATCATTATATTAATCATTATATTAGTCATTGCATTAGGCATTATATGAACCATTACATTAATCATTATATGAATCATGATAATAATCATGATATTAATCATTAAACTCTTCATTTTAATAATCATTAAATTAATCATTTTATTAATCATTATAATAATCATGGTGTTGATCATTTTATCAATCATTATATAGATCATTCTTTAGTCATTATATGAATTACTATTTTAATCATTATATTAATCAGTATATTAATCATTATATCAATCATTATACTAATCATTTTAACATTCA